GCCCTTGCACCTCTCCTACAGCTTTACATTTTTAAACTGAAGCCGGTGCTATAAACAGGTGCCTTCACAGGAAGGCTGTTGAGATCCCTATTAAGGTCCCAGTAGCCTTCCGGTGAATCCCGGAGCCTGTTTACAGTGTCGAGCGCACAGCCCTGCATAGACCCCACACAGCCAACCAGGAGTCCGCACAGCCCAGCTGTGACCCCACACAGCCCACCTGAGAGTCCGCAAAGCCCACCATAGACCTCACACAGCCACCTGAGAGTCTGCACAACCCACGATAGAAACTGCATGGCCACCTGAGAGTCTGCACAGCCCACCATAGAACCTGCACAGCCACCTGAGAGTCTGCACAGCCCACCATAGAACATGCACAGCCACCTGAGAGTCTGCACAGCCCACCATAGAACATGTACAGCCACCTGAGAGTCTGCACTATTACATTAACTGCCATTATTTTTCCCAGACTTCTACTTTCAGAGCTAGTTATTACTAAAACCAGTAATAATTGAACCCAGGGGCAATTATTTAATATGATAAATAGTAGATACATTTATATAATCTTACAGATATAACCGGTCCTTTGAGGGCAACCATAATGCTGATGCGGCCCATCATGAAATTGTGTTTTACACCCCTGGTATAGAAGAAGTATATATTAAAATAAAACTTACAACTGTTTAATTATGAAAATGTGTGAAAAATCTCATCTCTAATCTTTATATAGGATTCAATATTGTAGCAAAAAGTGCCACAGCTATGTACAAAACTCATACTAATGACCAGTTTTCTTCTCTTGCATTTCACTACATTAAATTGATTGCTATGGGTTACTGGGTTATGCACATAGCTCCTACATTCTGTGTCCTCATGCGCGAACATGTATGTGTGTCAGGATGTGTTGAGACACAATTTATGTACCTTATACAAACCTTTATCTGCTTCTTGCTTTGTCTTGTCTTCAATAATGCGTGATCATCAATGCATATTAAAGGAAACATATACTAGTGTTGTATATAGTTTCTTTATTATGGCCAGGACTGAAAAAAAATGTAATATATTTTCATGGTAAAGTGTTCTCTGATTGGATGAGGGATGGTGACATCGCTAAAGACTCCTGTAGGACAGTTTACTCAAATACCAAATCCAGTTACTATGCAATGCACATCCTTCATATGTGTCTCACACTCTCCCCCTCACAGACATTGCAGCTCACAGCAGGAGCGTTTCAGCAATAGAGGCAGTGTTGTCAATCCCGAAAGCACTGGGCAGGACCAGGTGTGAACAGATGCTGATTGACATGATGAACAGGCTTCTGAATTAGCAGTGACAATGCTGATAGCCATGCTTCCTGCAAAATTTTTTTGCATCCTACTGTAGTGCAAGCAGGTGCAGAGTGACAACCTCGCTTTGAATTCAGGAGCAGTGCAGCATTGTTTCCACACCATCAAAAGAAGGTGCAACGGGTGAACTTCCATGGCAGGATCACATTTGGGACTTTGCAGGGGGACTCAGGAAAAACTGTAAGTGAAGATACATGTATAATTAGGTACTGCAGCACATATTTTAGAAATGGGAGGCCTTAGTTCTACATTAAGTTGGAGCCAGCCCACAACACACACACACAAAAGAAAAAAAACCAATTTTACACATAAATCGATTTATTTATCCAAACAAAACAGAGGAAATATCAGCCCTCAAATCCAAATCTGTCTTCTTTTTTTTTTCCGCTGAAATCTGTGGATCTGGTTCCACAACTTAAAGTTGTTTTGTGTAATAATAATGTACAATATATTAAAAATATTCATAATTCAATAGTTTTTCACATTATATTTCACAAACAGTATCACAAAAGTTTCTTTTTAAGTAAGCAACAATAAATCTAGAAACACTCAAAAAAGCATAGCAATGCCCACAGGTACAAGAAAAAAGTGCACATTACCTAGTCACAATCACAGTCAGTCTATATAAAACAGGTATGTTTATGTACAAAATATCACTGATGCCTTAAACTCATTGTCAAAAATTGAATTACATTTTTACATGAAATAAGGCAAATTCAGGAATGCACAAAGGACATGATATTTAACAAAAGCTAAACAACTAAACAGATATACTGTGCAAAGAACAAAAGTACTTTCTACTGCTAAGTAAAAATTATGATTCAGTGCACAAAGAAACACTAAGAACATGTAGACCACATTGTAAAATAATTAGAGAGGTTGGAAATTTTGTACAGATTTCATTCTGGTGGGAGGTCATGATTCACACGTTGGGTGTTAGAGGTAACCTATACTCGTCCCTTTTCTGAGTGTTAGCCATGTGAGTAAGGACTAAGGCTTGAGGGTGAAGGTACTGAGGCCAATGTCTTAGGGCCTGTGCACACTGTTGTGTTTTAACGTGCGTTCCCATGTGCTAAAAATCATGTATCGGAGTTCCCTATGATAAAGTTAATGACTGTTCTCATCTCGTTGCAGTGCAGTGTGGATTGAAAAAATATGACTTGTCCACTTTTTTTCTGCATTTTAGAGCTTTGGGAGACCCATAGAAACCAAAGGCAGAGCATCAAAACACGTATACAATGGCAAAAGGTATTAAGAAGCCTTGGTCAATGGCTAACCCTATCCACTCCAAATTCTGAATCACATTGAAAATCAACGTCAACACACACAGGGAGCGCACATTGATGCATGGTAACGCACCTGCCCAACACTACAAAAAAAACCACACGGTACGCATAGACCTAGAAGGGCCCTTAGGTCACACACTCAAATTATGCTATATGCAGGTCAACTTGGGTTTTATGATCTGCTGGGCCTTAAACACATCATAAGAGCAGTGTGTACAGCAGGCTTTTACAAAGCATTAAAAGTCAGCTTCAAGAAACTTTCTAAAGTTTCCCTTTCTAAACATGTAACACCCATATTTACGGTGTAACATGAAACATGGTCAGATTCTTGAAGCATTTAGCCCTGGTTCACACCTAGGCGGCACCGTGTTTGTGCGTTTGTACGTGTATTAGCAGCATGTGGTTATTTGCGCATTGTGCACATTTGTACGCACGGTTTAACGTGCGTACAAGACGCGCGTTTTGATTGGCAGCTCATAAACCATTGTGGGCAATGGAAGAACGTGCGTATAAACGCGCAAAAACGCTCACAAAAATGTGCAACGTGCTTCCGTGCTTTGGGCATTTCCAATGAAGTCTATGGGGAGGAAAAGCGCTTTTAACTGCCCAAAGAAGCTCCTGTATCTTTTCAGGCATCTGATGTTTTACTGCTAGGCGTTTTTCTGCTCAGGTGAGAACCAGAGCCATTGAAAATCATGGGATTTCTTGTGTTGGGCAGTTAAAAGCGCTTTTCGAACTGCTCAACAACTCCTAGTTGTGAACCAGGGCTTAAAGCTTGCAAAGCTGCTTGAAGCTTTTTGCACACACTGCTCTCCTACAAATGGAACTCAGCGTATTCAAGGTCTTAGGTGTATGGTTTTAGAGTGCACACATACACAGCAATATATAGTTTCAAGGTAGAAATTAAGTCCCATATACATTGAACAAAGGACCTGTATATTAAAGTGGAAATCCAGTTACAATTTTTTGTTAAAAAAAAAAAAAACCTCCAAAAGTTCTACTTACCCTCGCCATGCTCCAACACTGTCCCCGGAGTCCATGTTGGTCCAGCACTTGTAGTCTTCTTCAGGCAGACAGTTATATAATTCTGCCCGATTTTTGTGAGCCCAGCCTGTGGTTTATACATCCCCTAGGGGGCAGTATAATCACTGGGCTGGGCTCACAGCCCAGCCCAGTTTTTCCTGGACTGCTCAGTCCAGGAAAAACATTTGCACCTCCCCTATCTCCAGAGAAAGAAGAGCAGGCTGCCATAACATCACCGGACCTTCTAGAAGAGTGCAGAAAAAAGATGTATAGGGGTTTTGCTAAATAAAAAAAAATACTGGGGTGCTTTTGGGGGATGGGGGGAGGTAGGTTTAATGCCAATAGTTTTAGTGTCATATTTTTGCAAACATTTTGTGGATAGGCAGTTCTACTGAGCCTGTCCTGGAAAGGAAAGAGAGGATACATCTCCCACCCAATGTGTCATTAATTATAGTTCCATCGCATACAATGAAAAATACACACCAGAGTGCAAATTATCAGATTGTCACTGCAACCTCTTAAGTATTCAGTCATCAATATCCAACCTCAGAGAGAAGGACTTGTACACGTAAGAGCAGCAATTATCTTGTGGCGATGACAGAGCAGAACTGTACATTCCCTGGGTTGTGCCACCTACAGAGAGCTTGCAATGTATTGGCAGAATTTGTATCAGTACCCAACCAGACGGCAGTGCCATGGGAGTCCTGCTATGCGTATGTACCAATATTGAGAAAGAATACTCCAGACTACAATCTACCTTAAAATATTTTGTTTTAAATTATATTTGTAAACATACATAGTGATTCTGATTTGTAGCATTGTCACTTAAGTGAAGCTCTGGTCGCTTTTGTGCTCACAAAAAATAGCTTTCAGTGGCTTTCTGTCACGTTTCAAGCTGAATGAATCCTTCAGACCTTCATTAATGCAGGATGGTGCTGTCTCCTTTTGTATCTGTACAGAATGCATGCCCTCTAAGCACGGACCCTTTTACTATGATACTTTATGAGCCATCACCATCTCAGAGGAAGCAGTCCAGCCGAGCTCTGTCTGCAGCTTAACCTACCTAGCTTACTGGGTAGACATTTACTATGCAGCACACATCATAAAAATCAATTTGCTGTTGCTTTTATCTAACCTGCCAACTTTTTCAGCTACAAAATCAAGAAGCTGGTAGGTCCCTTCCCTGATCTCCCCAAACTCCAAACAATCACCACCATTTTTTCCCAAGCCTCGACTCTTCTTTGGCCGTGATCATAGGACAGTTGGGAGGTACAGTACGCGTTTATTCTTCTGGAAAAGTATCTATTCTATAGAATATGAATTTATGAGGTGCCATAAAAGAGATTTTGCAGGTAAACACAGTTCTAACTCTTTTTCATTACCCACGGTCCATTTACCAGTGTCAGTGCCCATTTCTACCTTAGCACTTATTCTCCCAGAATCACTCAAATCAAAATAACTTATGTGGAAAATATGACTTGGAAAAATGGCTTTTTGGACCCGCATTGGGGTAAACGTTCCTCAATCCCACCACCCCTAGTGGATGTTTGCAAGGCGTCGACAATGCCTGCTGTGCGTTCTTAGCAATCAGTAACTACTGGGTTGTAAGAAAGGGCAATTGAAAATATTTTCTCACAGGGAATGTGGAAAGATCGCTGTCATATAAATTAAAATATCTGCATGAAAAATGACCATATAAAAATCACATTGTTTAAAAAATATGCAATCCTTCATTGAAATTTCTAGTGTGAGCCTAGGTTGGCCTTTTACGTCCTGCCATCGCATCATGTAGCTTCGGATCCAGAGTCAGTAGAACATTCCACTAATATTGCACTTGGAAAAAATTGAACATCATAGTGTCTTCCATTTGCTCCACTGTTTTGCATGACTTAATGAGCTACAGCCACATATGCAATATTTAAACCGACACACTGAGAACAAAAAAGCTGGACACATCAAAGACCTATTGGAATGTCAGAGGTCTCGAGTTCACCGGCAGCACCTGAACATCACTTCATGGACTGAAAACAGTGTGGCATTATGGTAATTAACTCCTCTACTCGTCAGTGCGGTAACCAAATGGCTCTACTCTGGCATATACACTGTCAACATGTCATTAGTGGAATTCCGGGACTAATCCAGGCCAGGGAAGAGGTTGTGTGACTCAGTTCTGCTGTAAGATGAGGTTTTCTAGTTCATCTGCTGAACGTAACAAAAATGCCGCCGATTCCCGGTAGCCGGCCACTAGCTGCTTGACGGCGGTAATTTCTGTAGGATTTAGCTGAGGTCTGGAGCTTGTGTTACTGGATGAGGTGGAGGTAGTTGCTAACTGCCTCTTCATGCTCAGATCTGTCGGCCCTGTAAAAAAGCAAATCAGAATTTAATGCATGCCAATATAGCCGCTGCGTTTCTTTCATAGCTCTATTGTGCAGCCAAGCACAGTCATCTGTATACATTAGTCACGTGTCATTGAAACTACTGACAATGAGACACTAATGGTTTCCGAGTGCGGATAATGCAGAAATATTATGGACAAGTCATTCATTTGCTAGCAGCTAATAGAAGTTTGAAGCATATATGAAATCTGGCATCCTAAAAGAAGAACACATAGCATACTTTTTAAATATATAGATCACACTGATGTTATATTCATCAGGAACGGGCTAGGTTCCTAAACTAAGGTAATCTGCTTTCAGAATGCCAGTTCACATGAACCAGATTTAAGAGCTTGACAGAAGGTGTAGAAGGAAGCTGTGCTAAGGTGCCCATACACCATGCAATTATCGTTCGATTTCAGAATGAAATCGGGTTTTCGTATGATAATCGGCCAGTTGATGGGAAGTGAACGAACACAATTACTGTACAACTTGACCGAATTTGGTCTATCCGGCAGGCTAGAAAATGTTTTTCGAATCGTACAGAAATTGATGGATTAGAGCAGGGGTCACAAACTCAATTCACTTGGGGGCCACTCAACAAATGAGGGCCGCTTGACAAATTTCACACTTAAATTAAAACTTAATTATATCCGGTATGGTACTAAGGCCACTAATATACTCACAATAAGGCCTCATTCATTTCGGTAGGTTTAGGTGCAATTAGGGATTCCTGCATCAGGAACTTGCGTTCTCCTGAAGCAGGAATCCCTAATCTGCTGTTTACAAGTGGCAGCTGTCACCCTTTCAAGTTAATGATCAGGTGACCGCAGCTGCATGTAAACGCCTGCATACTGTATGTAATGGTATGTGATATTATTACATGCGGTTAGAAAACAATATCACTTATCATTACATGCGGTGTGCAGGCGTTTACATGCAGCTGCTGTCACCTGATCATGAACTTGAATGGGTGACAGCTGCCACTTGTAAAAGCCAAATTAGGGATTCCTGCTGCAGGAAAACGCAAGTTCCTGATGCAGGAATCCCTAATCGCACGTAAAGACACAAGTGTGAATGGAGACTAATACACTTCTACTCCCCCCCATACACATAAAAAAAATACTACCCCTCCCCCCCCACACATATAGATATACTGTATAGTAGAGGTGCACCGAAATAGACATTTAAAAACCGAAACGAAACCGAAATAAAAAAAATTGTGCTTGGTTCTTTGCATTCTTATCACTATCCACAGTGACACACATAGGTAATCTATGGTACTAAACAGATGCACAGAAGGAAAGGATCTGAAGAGTCTCTTGCATATGGCAGCTATTAGCACAAAGTTCACAGGAGTGCAGTTGCAGGGTATATCAGTGTGTCCTCCAAGCCTTTTCCAGGTTGGCTGCTGGTGTGACCTCTGTGTTCTCTGTTCTAACACCCCTGGGAGCATGCATTACAAAATAAAACACTTTTATGCGGTCCTGGAGTATTGTGTTCTCACATTACAGAACTAATTAAGTGCTATCATGATCAATGATTTTTACTTAGCAAATGTATTACAAAGTAATTAGAAATGATTCATTTTCAGAAGAGGCATGAACAGGATGATGTGAGCGCAGCATAACTCAACCTGCAATGCATAGGGAAAGGCTCATTACTCAATCGTCACCTGCCACTTCATTACATCAACATACTCTACAGCCCTAGATAAAAGGGTGAACTCTATGAGAGGATGATGTGTGTTTAATTCAATAGCAAATCACATATAGACGGAAGATATCAGATCTGCTCTCTTCATTCTTGTTATAAATCACCAACAACTCTTGGAAATAATGTGCTAGTTAGACCTTCTGCATTAAGGTAAAGGTCACACACTGTTATAACTGTAACTGGTTAAAATGTGAAAGCCTGCCCGTCAATAGAAGATTGCTATATATATAATAATTCAACAGGAATCTGGTTTATGTGTGGCATGCTGAATTTAAATGCAGAATGGGGGATAATCTGACCTAAATGTTCCTCAAACATTGGCTACTGACTACACATTATGCTCACTCATGCCTATCCATGGAGTACAATGGGCAGAGACAGAAGTCCTCAACAAGAGGCCACCACAATTCTGAAGGACAGAAGTACAGGTGAAACTCGAATAATTAGAATATCGTGCAAAAGTAATTGCAGTAAGTTCTGCAAAAGGGGCCCAAACCAAGTACTGAGTACATATGCATGCTTGTACTTTCAGAGGTCCGATATTGTTCTATGTACAATCCTTGTTTTATTGATTGCATGTAATAATCTACTTTTTTGAGGTTGTAGATTTGGGGTTCTTGGGGTTTTCATGAGCTGTAAGCCATAATCATCACAATTATGACAAATCACGGCTTGAACTATCTTGCTTTGCATGTAATGAGTCTATCTCATATATTAGTTTCACCTTTTCAGTTGCATTAGTGAAATAAATGAACTTTTCATAACTCAACCTGCAATGCATAGGGAAAGGCTCATTACTCAATCGTCACCTGCCACTTCATTACATCAACATACTCTACAGCCCTAGATAAAAGGGTGAACTCTATGAGAGGATGATGTGTGTTTAATTCAATAGCAAATCACATATAGACGGAAGATATCAGATCTGCTCTCTTCATTCTTGTTATAAATCACCAACAACTCTTGGAAATAATGTGCTAGTTAGACCTTCTGCATTAAGGTAAAGGTCACACACTGTTATAACTGTAACTGGTTAAAATGTGAAAGCCTGCCCGTCAATAGAAGATTGCTATATATATAATAATTCAACAGGAATCTGGTTTATGTGTGGCATGCTGAATTTAAATGCAGAATGGGGGATAATCTGACCTAAATGTTCCTCAAACATTGGCTACTGACTACACATTATGCTCACTCATGCCTATCCATGGAGTACAATGGGCAGAGACAGAAGTCCTCAACAAGAGGCCACCACAATTCTGAAGGACAGAAGTACAGGTGAAACTCGAATAATTAGAATATCGTGCAAAAGTAATTGCAGTAAGTTCTGCAAAAGGGGCCCAAACCAAGTACTGAGTACATATGCATGCTTGTACTTTCAGAGGTCCGATATTGTTCTATGTACAATCCTTGTTTTATTGATTGCATGTAATAATCTACTTTTTTGAGGTTGTGGATTTGGGGTTCTTGGGGTTTTCATGAGCTGTAAGCCATAATCATCACAATTATGACAAATCACGGCTTGAACTATCTTGCTTTGCATGTAATGAGTCTATCTCATATATTAGTTTCACCTTTTCAGTTGCATTAGTGAAATAAATGAACTTTGCACGATATTCTAATTATTCGAGTTTCACCTGTAGATGTTTGTGATACAATTACAAATGGAACATCTACTGCTCTTATACCTGGTTAATTTGATGCCTTCTATGCAAGGTATTATAAAATGAGCCTTCACAGAAGTACAGGAAAACAAATTTAAAAAAAGACAAGAGAAGCGACAGAAAGTGGCATTTAGCTCATCCCATACTACCCTGTCTAAAGGGAGCAAGCCTTTTAAATTATGCATGTTTGAAAGGATGCAGATATGCCTTGTTTGATATAACTTATGACTAAAATGAGTACAAGTCTAGGGGCCAAATTACTTATAAAGCTTTATAAAATTATGAAATGCACCAACACATTCAGTGTTGGTCCATTTAAAAAAACATTGTAGCAAGTCCAAGAGGCTGAATAATACAAGCTGAAGAAAATAAAATAGGAGAAAAAGTGGAACTGTTGCTAGAATGCCTTTATCCTATAAATAGACTCTGTCATCATTTAAACACATATTTGTATTTGTGGGATTATTCAGGGCCCCCATTAACAGACTGTTTTAAAATGTGTCACGTTTTATTGCGACACATTAAATAGATGATAAAGTAACAAGTAAACAACGTATGGGTACACTTTTAACCTCAGTGCCAGTTAGCATATTTGTTAACAACTTCACAGACATGTCCCTGTTGGCTACCAGTATATAAATAAACAGACATGATTCCTTCATTTTAAAATTACCCTTCTGGGTCCATAACAGCTGTGATGAAGCTGTGGTATAACTGTGGTAGCCAACGTTCTTTAACACATTTCGCAATGAGCATTCTCAGGATCAGGGCAATTTCTAAAACCCAAACAGGTGCATACGGCAGTTGCCATTTACCCAAAATGAGCACTACTCTGGTGGTGGGACTGCAGGGGGAAGAATAAACAAAAAAGCCCACTCAGACATACAATATATCTGTCCAGTTTAATCCCTTCCAGCATTACTAAGATCTTATATCTTCTTTACAATCTGAACACTCAGTAGGTAGCACCAATTTGCAATTGCCTTTCTCATCAGTGCTGTGCTACCTACACATCTATCCTGTAGCCTGCCCATAGAACAGTCAGCTCCAGACCAAAGCAACACCATTGGTGGCAACAGGAGTGCATGCTCCACCACCATCAGAGACGGGGACTCTGTCATTAGAGAATCACATAGGCTGCCATTGTGAACTCTCCTCTGGTGAATGCTTGTTCCCTGGCCTGTCATGCTGCTGCTTTGCCTGCAGTGCTGTCTGAGTCACTGACCTGTAACATGAATAGAGATAAGGAATTCTGACACTAAGTAAGGTAATTACCATTTTCTTCAGGAGATCCGCAATGGCAGCCCCCATGATTCTTAACAGAGTCATGTTAAGCATGAACAGATTTTGAGCTCATGTCTGTGGCATTGAGGGGTAAATATTTTCTTGGGCTCTGAAAGGCCTGAAATATTGCCCACAGATATACAATTATACAAATTTGCTTCCACTGCTTGCATTTTAGAAAGAAAAATGACAAAGTTTCAGCATCAGCAGTTTTAAATACTGATGTCTGATCGCGGAGAGGTAAGTTGAAAGGAAGCTGCTTGTCTGACACCTGCAGTGTGCCTTCATAGTATTCCTGCTTTGGAAGTGCACGGAGTGCATTTTTTTTAATGCAGTCACTGATGAGAGGCACAGAACACTAGCTATGTAGCTGCGAAGGTCAAATCATTTACAATGAGTTGATTTCCCACAAAAATCAATACCTGCTAGTGTTTCCACTGCGGGGACATTACCACACATTTGTATTGCTAACACATTAAATGTGTTGTTTAATGCTTAGTTTGATTTAATGTAACAAGAATGATTAATTAGAAATGACAAGTTTTTTTTCATTCCTCTTCAGTCCTATAGAACACTGGATGTGTGCTGCAGCCCTTAAAGGGAACCTGTACTCCAAAAATGTATTAAAATAATTACCCAATAAACATACAGGGTATCAGTGCTGACAAGAAAATATTGGTTGTTTTTGCTCTCAGTCCATTCTAAGCCAAACATGGAACATGCAAAAAGTGAAGTCAGCACTCCTAATCATAATCATATATTACATACACAGACTTGAGGCATCCCGGATTCCCATCTCTTCAACTGTCCCTTACCTCTTCCAGAAGACGTGCAGTAATGAAGCAGGGAGCCTCGTAGGTGGTCATGTGATCACCCACCCAGCTTCCTGATTGGATGGGAAGCCGCAGTCACGTTCCCTTGAAGCTTCCTAGGCATCGAGGACTGTGGCTTTTATGTGTGAAATGTAAGTGGCGATTGCTGATGCGCTCTGTATCGCAGAGCCGGTCTGTGATCTCTCCACCAGTTCAGTGACTAAAAGTACAATGCACCCTGTGGCGGTGTTGCGATTGAGGTGATTAAAGTGAGCCGAGGCATATCCTGTGCGCACTCCTAATTATCATACGTATCCTGGGCCAGTGACTCAGAAATTACTTAAGTCACTGGAACAGCTTGATAGCCAGTACGCCAGTATTTTCAGCTGTTGATTAGCTTTTTGTTTTAACATTTAACAAGAATGTATGCATAGTGAAATACATTTTTTTCTGTTCAGTAAAAAAAGTTGAGTATCACTTCTCCCTCAGCTGATCCAATAATAAACGTGTTGGTCATTACAATAATGTCGCAGCACTGCTTGCTCTTGTGGAAACTTGCAGCTCTCAGCCCTCTAACTGTATTAATAATAATTAGTAATAATCAGTGAAGGCTTGCATTTGCAGTCTGGCCAGCCACATATTCACTAACATCAGTGATAATAAAAGGCTAGTTTAGCACAATTATAATTTATTTTTTTCTTCATTTGTTATTGGTTAGCACTTCTGCCTTGCAGCACTGGGGGCCCCTGGTTCGTATCCTGGTCAGGACATTATCTGCAAGGAAGTTGATTGTTCTCCTTGTGCTTGCGTGGGATTCCTCCGGGTACTCCAGTTTCCTCCCACACTCCAAAGACATGCTGGTAGGTTAATTGGATCCTGTCTAAATTGATCCTGTAAGTATGTGAGAGAGGGACCAAGGATTGTAAGCTCCTTGAGGGCAGGGACTGATGTAAAGTACTATGTAAATTGTTGGCGCTATGTAAATACCTGTAGTAAATAAATAAATAAATTACCAAACTGAACTGTTTGCTGTTGATCTGAAACCCTTCTTTAAAATGCAAAAGGACTGTTGCATAGTTGCTGGCACTATGGGGCTATGAGATTAGTTAAGATAATTCCAGACAGAATGTTTACATCCCATAGATCTGAACGGGCTGTACTTGTCCTACCGGACAAAAGGTAAACACTGTAGGAGGCTGCTGCCATTGGAAGAGCTAAGCACCTGTGGGGGTACTCGGGTGGCTCAGCTTAGTGTATTTAAGGCACTAGAAATATTTATTTTCTGTTTTTTTGTGTGTTTTTTTTACATAAACTACTAAACTTTTAAAGGCTTTAAAATGTTATTCTTTTTTGTTTTTCCTACGTTGCATTAAAATAAAAAAATAATTTTGGATTACATTTTGTCATGTGAGAAAAACAACAATAAATACTTACAGGTGGTGCCATTTTGTGAACCTTTAAGAACAAATAACACAACGCTAAAAGGTAAAATCCAATGCAACTCACCACTGTTCGAAGTATCCGAGAGATTTAGTAGGCCTCCCCCTAGCCCCCGGTAACTATGGTAACTGTAAGTCCCATTCCCATTGATGTATAACACCTCTTGCGTGCTGGATACAGCGGACGTGGAATAAGTGACCTGTGCATTCTCTTGTTTATATGGTTTGTCGGGTAGTGCTGGTTCATCCTGCAAAGACAATTTGTGAACATACATGTCACTGGAAAGTAAGTTCAAATTTAAGTTCCGATATAAACATTTAATAATTTCATATTTATTATTTCATTTTTATGAATATATAAAGTGCCCTCAGCTAGAACCACTGCTTGTTCAGCGGAAAAACATTGGCCCTATTACTAACACTGGTAAAAAGTCCAATTTTTAGCAGCCACACAGATAAAATACTGACCAGATGGCAGCCCTGCCCATAGCTAGTGCGTTGTATCAAGTGAGTCGTTTGAGGCGTGTCACACTAGCGATCTGTGAGTCCTTGTCAGTGACAGGATTGTCAAAAACTGCAAAAATAATTACCTGCGTCCATCTGTTGCTTCCTCCCTGGTCAGATAAGTGAGGCAGCCCTCCGTTGCTGATGGAAGCACTGCAGAATTTAAGTTGCCAGCAGGGGAACAACGCCTCGCTTATCCAGCCAGGAAGGGAGCAACACATGGAAGCGGGGGAGCATTTCCAGTTCTCACCAGCGCCAGGATCACTAGTGTGACATGAACGGTGGGGAAAGTGCATTAATATTTGAAATTCACCAGACAAGGCAGCAATGTTCAAGCTTTAGGCAACCTCTGATTCCAGACACTCAAGCTGTCAGGGTGTTTACATACCAATGTAATTAACAATCAACTACAAATAAGGGAAATATTGAGTGTTTGTGGTCTGTAAGGGCCATGCCATTCTGCATTCATTGCTGTATAATTTTACACTTTCCTTTTCACTATATTGCACACCACACTATTTTTTTACTTCCACCGCTCCAAGCTTGCTCCTGTGATGGACTACAATCTCAATACAAACTAGTAGTCCATCACTGGAGCCATTTTTTAAAATGTATTTTATTGTTTATCCGATTAACCGATTAATCGAACTTAATAATCGGCTAACTAATCGATTTTGAAAATAATCGTTAGCTGCAGCTCTAGCCAGATATGAGGAAAACTGGGGCTTCAGGAAAACCAAAGACGATGAAACCGATCAGTTCAGAGGTGTCAACCTAGGGGAAGGATTTATAGAGTGATAAGGATGAGAACATGCAATACCTGGGTGTGGTTAAATCGCTTAAAGGGCATGACTTCACTTGCACCATAACAAGCGGATGTAGAAAGTTGTGCAGTGCAGTGAGAGCAAATAGAAAAAGATGCCAAAAAACATTTCCAGGATACAAGAGAAGTTTTACTGATCAGCATACAAAATGAGAACTGATACTGAAAACTATACACAACATACAGAACACATGAAGGAGTACTATGTCTTATTTATATACAAAGAACAAAAACAGAGAATGATATCCAGTGTTATAGTAGTTAAAAATAGTAGTGCCATGTAATGTCTATATGTAAATGTTTAGAAACAGTAACCTAAACAGCAAAATACACATTTCCTGCCTTTTACACATTTTACACATATGAACATATTAGTACACATTGTAACTATGTAAAGAAGATGGCTGGGTCAGGCCTCTGTTGAGAGCCAACAGACATTTATACATCATCCAGGGTGAGAGTTGACATGACTGTCAGTTTCCAATACTCAGTTTTATATGGAAGTTAGACAATTAGATTTCTGTGGCCAACACCTACATTTTTCTTTTTATTTAGTGTTACAAAATTTTACCCAACCTATAAGGGTTAATTCCAATGGGCGAGCACATGTGTGCGGCATTCACTCTCTGTGTCCAAGTGTGGGTACCTAGACCTGCACGTATGTTCAGGTTCAGGTCAGCGTGTAGTTGCGTGCAGGCATGTCTTTCCATGGGGTTATGCAGGCAGCTGCACACAATTACATGCAGCACCTGGCCCTCCCGAGAGCAGGTCTCTGCATGGGCATGCATGCCGTCGGATGTGCACACATGTGTGAATGAGCCCTAAGATTATCTAACAAATGTCTGAAAGAAGAACTGTTCATATCATTCAAAGCAGCCAATTAGATTGACACTTCATTAATTAAAAAAAAAACCTGATTTATTTCTATTGGCACAATGATTGCTTTTCTTTAATAAATGAGGCCTTTTGTGACTAAGGTGTTTGCATACAATGACACGATTCATAATATTAGGAAACTGATTTTTTTCCTGATTCCATGCGGCCTGCATTCAGTATTCAGGTGAGTAAGAGGGATAATTGGAACTTGGCAAAAGAATCACCATTATCCAATGCCAACATCTTTCCTGCACGAAATAATTATTAAAGTACCGTTTATTTTTCTGTCCCCTGGAGATTTTCTTTTTATTACAATAGGATAGACTCTGCTTTAACTCCATGTATTTGTCCCTTTTACAGATCAAGGTTAAGTGCTACACATAGTCCTGGATAAAAGATTTATACTGTATGCTCCGCATCAGCCCTTGCCTTCCATTAGAGAAAGGACCTACATTTATTAGTGAAGTTCTGGAATTTTCTATAGACAAGGTCAATTATATAGAAGAACATTGGATGAGGAGGCAGGAGGAGCTGGCTCCAGCACCGAGTGGTCGTTGTCAATTTAAAAAGGGTAAAAGAAAATGATTAGCAGCTGAAGACATTGTTTGCCATATGTGCAAGGCACAATAGACTCACTATTGTGATGGCAGTTTGTTGCAGCAAAGCATTGCTTCCATGAGCACAAAATAGGATACATAATAAAAGGTAAAAAATAAAAAGGTAAAATGCTTAAACTGGCAATAATATTATTATTATTTTATTAATAATATTTCTATTATTATTATTAGCATCATCATTATTTCATTTTAGCACATTTAAAAAGATCCAGCAGTGTAAGTGAGAAAATCAACATGAAATCCTTGTATTCTGGTAAACTGTGATACATTTATCTCACAGTTGACATTCCCCCCATAAATAAACCAGACGTTGCAAGCTGTAGAAATAAAAAAGAAACAAAAAATAATTTCTCTGTATGCTGTGGAAGAGCAATAGGGAAAGTTTTAACATTTTGGTTGGACTGGGAGTGAGTGCTTTCATTGCATTTTAGATATATGTATAGACTTGTATTTCTATTAAAAACAGATTGTATGTGTGTTAGCAGGAAAGTAATATGATGGGTGATGATTATAATGTAGTATAATCACATGAGGAGCATTAACAGGATGTAAATACATTTTTTGTAGAGTTGCACAGATACCAAGTACAGTACTCGGTACAAGTACGAGTACATGTACCGATACTTTTGAGCTCCAAGACTACACTAGAGAAAAAATCAACAATTAGGAGGCAGCTGTCATTTGTAAGGAGCACACGGAGCTCCTGGGATTTGTACATCTCTGTTTTAATGTACGATTTTGTTTTTATAAATATAAATAAAGGGATGTACAGATACCAGTTTTGCTAGTACGAGTACTGGTACTTGTCGAGTACTTACAAGTACGAGTACTGATACATTTTTGTTTATTGTCATGTGACAGTTTTTCTAAAACAATACAGACTAATGATTTCAGGACAGTGGTGGAGCACCAGAGCAAGGTCCCAGCTGCAACCGCTGCAACTCTGGTAGTTCTCATGAAAATGCCAAGTATCTGCACTGGTACTCGAAAAGTATCTGTGCATCCCTAATTTTTTGTATGCACATTCATAAAGAAAAGAAAGCAGCTAGTTACTAGTTAGTAGCATTTAAATAATGCTTAATAACTGTATATATAAAACAATGTTTGCAGTATGCTAACTTTCCAGCTTGATTATGCTACTTGATTTTGCAAATGTATATGCTGCTCTAAATGAATAATGTATGACCTGTTGTTACTATTTATAACAGTTAAAATATGAATCAATAATCTGACTTTATAAAGCATGATCTATTAAAAAAACTTCTAACAGGAAATATTTATATGTTTTTTATTGAGTAACAAATAAAGAAATAAACATTTATGACGTGCTTAACTAAGCTAGTTGTTGACGTCCACTAAATGGCAATGCAACAAATCTACATATCTAATAACAGGATTATGCATTGTAAAAGTACATTTTATGATGTAATTCCAACTTTATTGCTAAAGTAATAATAGTAATAATAATTATTATAAAGCCATAAAGTACTTTTTATATTGTGTTTTTATTTCATGCTCTATTGTGGTTCATTTGTCGTCATTTTGCTGCTCTAGGGGACATATTGTGACATCACCAAGTATCCTAATATTTAAGTATCTTGGCTTCCACATCTTTGACACTGCTAAGTAGTCTCCAGCAACACTTAACAAATCCTAAATGTTAGGCTATTAAAACAAAAAACACTTTTACTAGGCTTGTAAATGCCTTTTTCTCATTTGAATGCTCTATGTGTATGAATGGGACATTTTTATATAAGGATTTCATCGCTAAGAAAAAAAAAACCTGCCGAAGAAAATATATTTTTCTATACATTTGTGGACAAACAGTACCAGACCAGTGGGATAAGGAATTACATAATCAGAACATACCAAATTCCACCCAAATACATTTTCTCTGCTCCTCTAGTTAAACTTAAATTTATGTTAATTGTTAAAAATAAAATGGACTACTAATGTCCTATAACATTTTTTAATGAAGCGTGGCAACATGTGAACCTGAAGCTACTAAAGTAGAATTGTAGGAGAGTAAAATATACTTTCCACACTGATTAGAGCTGGACTGGGACACTGCATTTGTCACATGGCGGCTCTATACCAAGAGCTGAGCGATCATGTAACTGCTGATCTTTCAGCTCACAGTCTCTTCTCCCTGTAGAGAGCATTCACTGTCAGTCACTGCTCCACGCAGGCATCCGCCCCCTTTCATTGGTAGGACAGACAGGGGAGGGGGTGGGCACAGCTGGCTCTGGCTCTAGAGAGGCACAGCCAGCTGTCAATTAGGCAGCCAGGGTGGATCCTGACAATATTGTCAAGATCCTTCCCTGCTGCAACTGTCAACAGATAGCAGGCAGCAGACACCTATGTGCTGACTATGTATCACAGAAGTGCATTAGTAAATGTATTCCTGTGACTCAAAGTAGAATTAAAG